AAAATCCCTACCTGGGGAAACAACCTTTCTCGGAGAGGTGACCTTGGTTAAAACACATAGCACCAAGAAGGTGAGCAAACATATTAAGAACAGTATGCCATATACGCCAGGTCCCTTGAAACATATGCTGTGCAGATGTTTCTTCCCTGCAGCGACTGTGTCAAGCAGCAAGGATGGACTGGCTCCCAGCATCTCTTAATCTTTACTAAGAGATTATAGATTTTGTTTAGCAGCAGTGCACCCAGCTATAAAAGTCTTGATTTTCCATACATTTTGGGTAACTGGATAGATGAGACACTTTCAGCTAATGAGATATAGATGAAAGTATCTGGAGAGGCTTCCTTAATAATAAAAAGCTAAGAGAAGAAAGCCTTTTCTCCCTTTGCCCTCTCTCTCTTTTTGTATGGGAACCTGGATGCAGTCAGGCTTAGAAGAGGTGTAGCACTCTTTTGTAAACAGGAGGAAGTGACAAGCTAGTAGAAGAAAACTTACACATGCTAAGGATGCCAAAGTGGAGTTTTAAAGAGCTCTTAATACCATTGTTAAACTGTGCCAGCTTGAATGCTTTGACAAGTTGTGAGAGATATGTGAATCTCTACATTTTCTTTAAGCCTCTACTATTTTCTGTTATTTCCAGCCAAATATGTTCCTAACTGATATAAAGGGCCTATATGACCTAGCCCTTGCCCATTTTTCTGACCCTATCACTGTACTCTAGCCATATCAGCTAGCAAACCCCTGCTCAAATCCAAACTCCTTACTTAGGACTCAGACGCTCCGTTTGATCTGGTTTTACTGGCCTCCCTAATGTACTACTGCCCTCTCCAACCCCAAAGCAACAAAACATTAAAACATCCAATAATACTTGATAAATATGTGCAAGATGTTTTGAAGATAAACACAAAGTAGAAGAACTTAACAGACCAGAATTGAAGGAGAGGTGTATCATATACATAGATTAGAAGACACAGTTTTGTAAATTTGTCAACTTTCCAGGATTAATTTGAAGCAGTGAGTTTTTAAAAATAATTTCTAACATTTTCTTCATGGAACTTGAAGATATTCATATTGAACATCAAAGAGCAGTAATAGTCAAGGTAATTTTTAAAAAAATATATTTTATTGATTTTTTACAGAGAGGAAGGGAGAGGGATAGAGAAGTAGAAACATCAATTAGAGAGAAACATCGATCAGCTGCCTCCTGCACACTCCCTACTGGGGATGTGCCCAAAACCAAGGCACATGCCCTTGACCGGAATCGAACCTGGGACCTTTCAGCCTGCAGGCCGACACTCTATCCCCTGAGCCAAACCGGTTAGGGCTCAAGGTAATTTTTTAAAGGTAACAAAGTAGATTGACATTGCCCTATTCAATATCTAGACTTATTTTCAAGTTAAACTATTAAACAAACTGACAGAAAAGATATGGAAAATTAGATCTCTAATTTAGAGATCTAAATTAGATCTCTAGCTCACATTACACTTATAAGTAGATTAAACATCTCAATGTGAAAAGCAAAATTATAAAAATAATCTAGAAGGAAATGTTGCAATAGGAAAGATGTCTTAAAGATCATGTAGAAAGCACAAACATTGTAGGTAAAGATTGATAAATTTTACTCTGTTAAAGTTTAAAACTTGTATGAAATCAAAAACATTGTAAACAGAGTTTAAAGACAAGCCATAAATGGAGAGAGTATATTTATAATGCTTACTAGAGGCCTGATGCACGAAATTCTTGCTGGCCTGCGATCAGGGCTGATTTTCCCCAGCTGCTGGCAGCTGGGCCTGCCCCTTGCTGCCGCCGCCTCCGCTGGTCAGGGCCCCATCACTGCTGGTGTCTGCTGCCATCCAACCCCTGGTTCCCTGTTCCCCATCAGGCAGTTGGAGACTGCCAGCCAGGGTGAGGGACTGAGAGTTTGGCCGGCAGACCCCGATCAGGTGACAATAAGAAAACAATAAGAAAAAGACAACAAACCAGTACTTAACAGATGAAACTTGAATGGTCAGTAAACATATGAACAGATGACTATTATATCAGTTTGCATGGGTTCAGCTATAAGTATCGAAAAAAATTCAGCTAACAGAAACATAAAGCCTAAGGATATTTTTTTCCTCCTTGACAAATTTAGAAATAGGAAGTTCAAGAGTTGGTTTAGCACTCTGTGAGCACAGTAGGGTTTACATGCCAGCATTTTCATAGTTCTCTTGACCTTCCCATTATGGTATCAGCAGCTCCAATGTGATAACCTTCTGTGAGAATTTTTTAAAGTCGAGAGGAAAGAGGAGAAAGGGACCTTTATCCTCCATATACCTTCTCTTAGTGGGGAGAAAAATCATTCCATAAGCTTCTAGATTTTTCCTTCTGTCTCATTGCCAGTTACTGACAGAGGGGAATGAATCACCCTTATAGCTTAGAATAATCAGGATTCACTCCCTGAACTGGGGAAAGAATTACCTTTTCTGACCATATTACTTTCTGTCCAATACCTGAGGAAAATTGAGTTTTTCTTTGCCAGCAAGAAGAGAAGATATTTGCTGTAATTATTAGCCTCTCATTAATATAGGTTGAACCAAACAATATTGATGACATAATATGAATATGTAATATATCCTAATAATATGAAATGTGGAATATAATGTATAAATATATTAACATGAAATACATGGAAATATTTAAATATAACTAAGAAATATCTAAATACATAAACTAATGTGTTTAAAAACATGGAAAGTATAAAAATATGCGGGGGTGTAACAAACATTGACTTATGTAAAGGTATCTCTAGAGAAGAAAGTTGATGACTAGGATTAAGAGAGATTGCAATTATTTTATTTTCAAAAGTAAAATGCAGGGGGGAAATGGACACATATGTAATACCCTTTGTAATAAAAAATTTAAAAAAAAAAGTAAAATGCAAATATCTGAACCAAAAATGTAAATAGCATTTGTATTTTTTTTTGCCTCTCTGCTTTAAATCTTATAAATTATATTAATGTATATACAGAGTAGGGAAATGAGTATTCTCAAGCATTTCGATTGAAAATGAAAATTGATAGACTGAATTAGAGGACAGTTTTGGACACAGAAAGAAGTCTGGAAGTTTAATTAGAATGCTCATTTCATCACCATAATACAATTACTTTAAAATTGTCATTGGCTATTTTTCCAGTCTATTGATCTCATTAAAATCCTCATCATGCTGGACATTGCATAATGTTGGTGGCCTTTGACTTCCATAAAGTTGTACTTTCATGGTATGTTTTACCTTTCTCAGTGTCCTAGCCCCATTCTGCTGCAGGTCTTTTCTGGCTCCCCTCCCTCTTTTTTTTCTGTCTAAAAATTATGATACTTCTTGTTAGTGTTCTGGTTCTGCATTTTCACATGTCTGTATTTCCACTTGTTTGTCATATTGTTTCCTCAGACTCAGTAAATCCAAGCTTGAATTGTTTCACTTAACCACCCATTTCATTTAGTTTGGCCACCAGTCCCAAGAGTAAATGTTTTGGCATTATCTTTTATTGTTACTTTTTAAATAACTTGTCAACAAACCATCACCACATATTTCTAGCATCCATACATTTTTCTCCAGTTATCATACTGTTGTGTTGAGTATTTAATTTGGTTGTCAGCAGTGTTTAAATAACCATTATCTCTTAGAATATAGTTATACATTTGATTTTGTCTTATAAGCATGAGGGGAAAGTGAATGCCCTGGACAGGAGTCATGTGTTGCCCAGCACACAGAGGTATTGAAAAAAAAATTTTTAATAAACCGCCCAAATACTAAAGGAAGAGCTTTCTTAGTTCTAAATTTTCTGAGATGAAAGAATCAATTTGAATGTTAGCCTTTTTTCTTTTTACTTTTTTTGCTATAGAATATAGCACTTCAGTTCTTATTTGTTGATATTGTTAAAGGAATTCTAATGGTTCATTTTGCAAAATTGATTTTAATGTAAGATATTTTCCGTCTTTATTTTTAGGTTTTGGAAGGAAGGATGTCGTAGAACATTTGCTGCAGATGGGCGCTAATGTCCATGCTCGTGATGATGGAGGTCTCATCCCACTTCATAATGCCTGTTCTTTTGGCCATGCGGAGGTTGTGAGTCTGTTACTGTGCCAAGGAGCCGATCCAAATGCCAGGGATAACTGGAACTATACCCCTCTGCATGAAGCTGCTATTAAAGGGAAAATCGATGTATGCATTGGTAAGTATTATTTGCTGATAACTAAGTTGTAAGATCAACCTGACAGGTATAAAACTTTAAATAAAGTTTTCTGTTCTCGTTTCCTATTATGATGGAAATAGCGTTTCATTAGAATTAGCAGGGTGGTCTTTATTCTTATTCTTAAAGGCGATTATTTTCCATTAAAAGGGAAGTAAAGAGACAGCAATCTAAAGTTGGTTAAGAACAAGATTCACAACATGAACCCTCCAAATGCAAGTCAAATGCTAACTGGTATGGAACTCAGTTTTGATAGATTACTGTTATCAAATTTAGTTAATTTACAGTCTCTTTAAAAGACTGCAAATTTCCTATCCTTGCATCAATGAGAACCATTATAAAGTACAAATTCTCACTGAATTGGATGACATATTTGGATGCTTTAGTTTGATTCAAGGAACATTATCAAAGCTTTTCTCTTTATGTTGCTGAAATTGAACACCAGCTATTTTATTAGGACTGGAATGCTTTGAGTGAGTAATTCAAATATAGTAATTCAAAGCTTAATATTTTCAACATGTGCCATAGTCTAAAGAAAAAGCAATTTCAAACAAAATTGAACTTTTCAACCATTTTAAATATTGAGATTATATGAAATTGTATCTAATCAGCATTTCTTTCTCTTTTATAGATATCTAAGTATAGACATGTATACTTTAGATTTTGCTTTAGTGTATAATATTTTTCATTTTAAAATCTAAAGCTTGTAGAGAACGAGCCTAGTTTCTTTTGTGTATATCATCTGTTTCTTCATACTTAAGACAGTGGATGGTTGTTTAACCCATGGCTAGTTGGTTTATATAATTGTTGTCTTCCTGTATGGCATCCATTTCAGTTTAATTAGTTATATTTATAAAACTCAAATGTATATGTCATTTTAAAAAATATTTTTATTGATTTCAGAGAGGAAAGGAGAGGGAAATGAAGAGAGAGATAGAAGCACCAATAATGATAGAGAATCATTGAATGGCTACCTCCTGCACGCCCCCCACATGTGCCCTGACCAGGAATCAAACCGTGACCTCTTGGTTCATGGGTTGACACTCAACCACTGAGCCATGCTGGCTTGGCTTAATTTATTTTCTGAGATTGGCCCTCCACCCTCCTGCCATTTCTGTTTAGGTAGGCACAATTGGTTTCTGAAATTCCCAAATGAATAGACTGATGTAAAGATCTTGAGAAGATAGGTAAATAGAAGTCCTGTTATGGGACCTTTAAACTAACAAAGACATCTCTTGAATCTTGATTTAAAAATTCCTACTGCCTTCACACTCTTTACATGTTTACCATACTCCCATCTCTCCTTATAGTCTGTGATTCTCCAGTGAGAAGGGGACAGAGCATGTTCCCTCTGGGTTCCTCAGCAGGGAATGGAGAGCTTACTGGCTTGCACAGCAAACAGTCCTGAAGATAATAGAGGTGCATAGTCTTCTAACACTTATGGGATTTTCAATATTTGTAATACTCTAATATCTAAATTTGAAGCCCAGAAAGCCCAATGAAAAAATAGCAACGTTTCTCAGCCAAAGAGGGGAAGATTGAATGAACAATCAGAATACATATCCAGGACTGCTTAAGGGGTCAGATAAACACCTGAATGAAAAGATAAAAATAAAAAGATCCCTCTGGAAAATGAAAGTGTAGTATGAAAGAAACTTCCTGGGACCAAAAAATAGCTATTTTTTTTTCTAAAATAGAAAATTCAATAGATAAATTAAAGAAAGACCATGCTAGTTGTCTGGAAGATCATTTGTGAGAAATGTCCCCCAATACAGAAATCGTAAAGGAAGAAATAAGTAAACCCAAGAAGCCAACATTATTTTAAAATCTTACATATGTATAAGTTCCAAAAGGTAGGGGGTGGGGAGGAGGAAGAAATAACCGATGTAGAGAATAATAATAATTAAATCATAAGCAGAGAAAAACTTGGGTCTTGAGATTGAAAAGGCTTATGGAGTTTCATGCTGTATTGATGAGAAGAAACACTGAGGAAGATGTCTGAATTTTTCCCTGTAGAAAGAATAAGTTGCCTACAGAGGGGGAAAAAGGAGATAAAAGATTTTCCATTTACAACTTTGAAAGCTTGAAGACAGTGGAATACCTTCTAAAAAGAATAAAACAGAAGGATTAAACTGTAATTCTCTTGATAAAGAGCAGTGCTTTAGCTTTTGGGGTGTAAGAAAGACTGAATAGAGCAAGTGACATTATTTTAGAGAAATAAAGTTCCTGCCACTTGTTTTCTTTTTCTTTCTCTTTTCTTTCAAATAATTCTTGGGATCCCAAAATTCAAACTGCTACCTAAAATTTAATAATTAGAACTTTAAAAAATAGCTTTATTTTTTACACTCAATGGCATTAAATCAAAGAGACCTGGGTCTTTGAGCAAATTACTTACTCTCTTTAGCTATTAAAATGGGGTAATAACTACTTCATATAGGTGTTAAGAAGTTTAAATGAAGAGAATGCAAGTAAAGCACCTTAATGTAATATCTGTGTAGACAGTGCTGTCATAATTTCTTACCCTGCCCTGCTTGTCTGGTTTCTTTAACCATATCTTGTTTTACTAACCATGTTTCATTGTAATTCATAGCCCTTATTACCTGAAATTATATATTTGTTGAGTTATACTAGTGGCCCGTTGCACGAAGATTCATGCAATAGGCCTTCCTTCCCCTGGCTGAGGGCACCGGTTTTCCTCCGGCACCCAGGACCCAGGCCTTTGGTCCGGCTGCAGCAGTGAGGCTTGGCTTCTCTGCTCCGGCCGCTCCTAGCCCCTCCTTTTTTTTTTTTTTTCCCAGCTCCTTGAGCGGAGCCAGGTCCCAAGCCCTCCTTGAGCGAGTCCAGGGCCAGTGGGAAGCTTGGCTTCCTCTGTTGCCGGGAGCAACCCAAGCCTCCTGCTTGCTCCATCTCTGTGGCTGCCACCATCGTCAGTCATCTTCAGTCTTTGCTCCGTGCCTGCATATGCAAATTAATCGCCATCTTTGTTCGGTTGATTTGCATAGTCGCTCTGATTGGCTGGTGGGTATAGTGGAGTGACAGAGTGGCGGTTAATTTGCATATGTCTCTTTTATTCGTGTAGATATTTATTTGCTTGTTTTCATCTCTCTGTGTACTCTATTTCTACTCTGTGCCTGAATTAGAAACACAGGAACCTTGTCTACCTTATCTTGCACTGTATCCCCACTGTAATATCCTCTGTGTCAACTCAGAGTAAAATGTTTATTCTGTGCCAGAACCTCATGGTGGTTTGCCAAGCATCTTTTCATGTGCCAGTTGTGGCCATTGGTACACATTTTTTTGGAGAAATGTTTACTTATATCCTTTGTTCATTTTTTAAATTGATTGTCTTTTTGTTATTGAGTTGTAAGAGTTTTTTTTTTAATATATTCTAGATAAAAGTTTCTTACCAGATAAATGATTTGCAAATATATTCTTCCACTCTGTGCTGTCTTTTCACTTGCTTGATAATGGCCTTTGAAGCAAAAACAATATTTTTTTTAGTTTTGGTGATTTGATTAATAGTTAAGTCTGCTTTTTCCTTGTTTGTTTGTGCTTGGTGTCACAAGTTTAAGAATCCATTGTCAACAAATTTAATAATCCAATCCCAGAGGGCTATGAAGATTTAACCCTATGTTTTCTTCTAAGAGTTTTATAGTTTTAGCTCTATTTTTAGGTCTTTTGATCCATATGGAGTTAATACAGTGGGGCCTTGACTTACAAGTGTCCCGACTAATGAGTTTTTCGATATACGAGCTGTCTCTCGGCCAGTTTTTTGCTTTGAGTTGCGAGCTAAAATTCGGGTTATGAGCCAGCTTCAGATACCCCACTGCTATTTGGCGCAGCGAACGTCACAGTGAACGCCACAACATCAGCCCAGCATCACGTGTCTCACTTGTTCACTTTTTGATTTGACATACTAGTAATTTGAGTTATGAGCTCTGTCACGGAATGAATTAAACTTGTAAGTCAGGGCCCCACTGTATTTGTATATGATGTGAAATACAGGGGCCAACTTCATTCTTTTGCATGTGCCTACCCAGTTTTTCCATACAGTTCATAACATTCCTTTATAACACTTTTATTTCTGTAAGCTTGGGAGTAATGTACCCCTTTCATGTGTGATTCTAGTTATTCAAGTCTTATTTTTTTCTGGGCCTGTTTAAGCTAAAAGTTTGTTAGTATATATTATTGTGCACCTTAGTAGTTCATTCCTATTTGTTGATGATGTATAGTGTTTTATCATATGGATGTAGCACAGTTGGTGGATGTTGGGTTGCCTCCAGTTTCTGAGTGTTCTGAAGAAGGCTTCTGTGAACATATTGTTTCATTTCTTGAGTGGATGCCTAAGAATGGAATTGCTGAATGGAATGATAAGTATATGTTGAACCTGATAAGAAGCTCTGATGTTTGAATGTGATGAGCATATTTTTATGTGACTACTGGTCATTTGTGTATATTTATTCTTTGGCTGGTCACAGTTCAGATCTTTTGACCTTTTGGGGGGTTATTATTATTGTTGACTTGTGAGAGCTCTTTTGTGTTATGGACATGGATCTTTGTTTGATGTGTGTATTCTAAATGCTTTCTCCCAGTTAGTACTTTGACTTTCGTTTTCTTAGTGGTATCTTTAGACAAGCAAAGGATTTTATTTTTGGTAAAACCCAATTTGTCAGTTAAATACAAATGTATTTGGTGTCTCACTAGCATTGGAATAATAAAGTAAGATTTTTATTAGACAATTATTTTTAGGTTAAAAACAGTTTCTAGTGAAGCAAGATTACAGTTTTAATTACATTGCGGAAATGCAGAAAGCATTTTGGTTTAAGGGTCTCTGAAGTGCTTTATAACAACTTGTTTAGGATATATTTTTTTAATTAAAATGAAAGAATAAGCTACTCCATAATGAAAAATTGAACATATTATGTGGCTTATATTTAAGATTTAAGAGTAAAGTCAAGTATACCTTGTTTAATTAGAAAATA